GTTAAGGGAATCCTTACATTTGTGAAGTTAGTCACACAGCTATGAAGAAAATCTGGATTCCCCACTGACTTTGCTTATCAGAAGGTAGCAGAAGCTGATCACATGACCCCAAGACCCTGCCACTGTCGTGCCCTTGTTGGAGTCAGATTCTGAGGGGGAGGTGGAACAGCTGACAGAGTGGGAGTGTGGCTCCGGTGGCTGTGGAAGAAACGGGGGAAGGGCACAGTCCGGCTGGGCATTCAGAGGAAGACCCAGGGCCACCACCTCTTCATCCTAGGGCATGCAGGGAGGAACAGAGAAGGGAGCAACATGGCTTACGGGAGAGAAAAGGGCCCTGATCCCTTTCATTAGTTTCAGCTGAGGGAACAGGATACAAGAAGGGCGTTTGCACACAGCACCTTGCTGGAAGCAAAGTGTGCATTATCTTTGTCGAGGCTTATCTGGGTTTTGACGTCCTCCCAACTGTGTGCGCTTTGTTATCTTTTGGAACTCTGCAATTTATCATCCTGGCCTGTCGTGTTAATTATATCAGCGTGGTTTGTGTTGGTTTTGTTATTTCTAATTTATCTTTACTTTGGGTTCGGACTGCATTTCTTTCCTTTGTAAACTGTTCTTGGGAGTGTTTTTTCTCTGATGATAACTGGACATTGGGGCCAAGTTGGAGATATTAAAGGGAATTTACCTATTTTTCTGACTTTGTTGCTTTTGTGCCACGCTCCGGGTCATCACAGCCACCTTCATAAATATGAACCAGTTGCCAAGCATCTGAATGTTTTATCATGTGATCATGGGGATGCTGCAAAGATCATTGGGATGAAGAACGGTCCTAAGTCACTTTTTTGAGTGCCTTGTAACTCTGAACGGTCACTAAACTGTTGTAAGTTGAGGACTACCTGCATAAACTCTTTATTGCAATGTTTTTTAATATTTTCTTTGCATTTTCGCGGGCCTCGCCTTTAAGTCAAACCTCACCGATGCCCACACCTTTCCCCAGACTCCACTCTGGGCAACGCAACTGGGTCAGCTTAACCCTTCTGAGCAGCTTTGCGAAATAGAAGGAGCAAAACGGGCACGAAGTATTGTGGCTTGCCAGTGGCCAGCAGAGCTGGCAGCAGACAGTGAGGAGGTTGGGGAGGAATGTGGGCTAGTCCTGGAGTCTGGGGGAGGCTCTGACGAGGGCTCTTGGGTCAGAGGCAGAGATGGGGCCAGGGCCGTCTGACAGTTATCAACTGCCTTTGGAGTCAGACATCAGTGAGGCAGAAGAACAGCTGGAGCCTGTTCCCAGTTTGCGCATGCACAGAGCTGCCAGAAGAAGGGAACAGCTAAGGAACAAGAGTCAACTTGGGAGTAAAGCCACAGGTGGACAGTGAAGGGCCCCTCCCATAGGGAATAAAAGAGGAGCGAAAGGGGAGTGGGCTTTTGCAGGAGACAGTTCATTTGGGAGAAGATCTTGCCAAGTATTGTCTGCTACAGTGAGGCCTCTGAAAGATATCAGCCTGGCACCTCTCCAAGTCTAATCAAGGTCTGTAGTTGTGAAATAACTTGAGAGACTATTGACTGGGACTTCGTTGGAGAGGAATTCACTATAAACAAAATAAAAGGGGTTTATCAGAAGGAAGACTCAGCTTCGTGCTGCTGTGGAAGCCTAGGTCAGAACACAAAGCAGATGCCAAGCAGGCCCATCTGTGGTTTGTCTGCCTGCCTGGCCGGCTGGTGACGGGGATTCCTGCTTTTTCTTCTCACCGGGTGCCGAACACAAAAGCTTTAGAACAGGTGCAGCAGGCAGCGCGGTTCGATGATGCTCCATTTGCCAGAGGAAGCCACCTGGCCTGGGCAGTGGAAGCGCACAGCTGCCAATTCTGGATCTTGAATATTTTTGTTTGTTTTTCATATTTCTTAATTGCCCATTTCCCTTCGGAGAAGAGCTCTGGGCAGAAGAACCCATTCTTGGCAAGATTCAGACCCACACTAAGGCACAAGTTTCTTACCAGATATTTACACTATTTTATTTTGTGGGCTCTAACGATTTAGCCTTGCAACATGTTTGTGTCATATGCAATGCTTGTATGCAGTGGTGAGATTCAAAAAAAAAAAAATTACTACCCCTTCTGTGGGTGTGGCTTGATGGGCGTGGCTTGGTGGGCATGGCAGGGTAAGAATACTATAAAATCTCCATTCCCTCCCCAGTCCTGGGGGAAGGTTACTGCAAAATCTCCATTCCTTCCCCACACCACTAACCTGCTTTCCAGTTCCATTCTCCTATGCAGGGCAACCAAAGAAGACGCAGCCGATCAGCAGGGACTCAATGGGAGGCAGAGAATAGATGGGGGCGGGGCCAGTCAGAGGTGGTATTTGCCGGTTCTCCGAACTACTCAAAATTTCCGCTATCGGTTCTCCAGATCTGGTCAGAACCGGCTGAATACCACCTCTGGTTATATGACCTTGTGGTCGTCTGCTCACTTAAAAGATTTGAGCCGTTAACCAAAGCAGTCAATTGAATAAAAATAAGGCAAGTAAATCAATCAATGGATATAAACATCATTTTAACCATTGTCTATCCACCGCAGGAGGATGGCCTCTTCTGCATGTTTCCGACCAATACGGAACTGAGGGCCGTTTTTGAGGTTGTTTTGGCATGTGGGAGGAATATAGGCCATAATCTATCTGCCTGCCTGTCTGTCTGTCTATCATCTCTCTATATTTATTTATTTAATATTCATTACAGTACTCGATTTTTGCCTTGTTTTTATTTACATGTATGTCTATATATGGGACGCGGTGGCTCAGTGACTAAGAGCTGAACTTGTTGATCAGAAAAATCAGCAGTTCGGCGGTTCGAATCCCTAGCGCCGCATAACGGAGTGAGCTCCCGTGACTCGTCCCAGCTTCTGCCAACCTAGCAGTTCGAAAGCATGTAAAAATGCAAGTAGAAAAATAGGAACCACCTTCGGTGGGAAGGTAACAGTATTCCATGCACCTTCAGCACTTGGTCCTGCTGGCCACATGGCCACGGAGACGTCGTTGGACAACACTGGCTCTTCAGCTTTGTAACCGAGATGAGCACTGCCCTCTAGAGCCAGGAATGACTATCACGTATGTGTGAGGGGAACCTTTACCTTTAC